GTGCTAGCAAATCCAGCATCGATGTCTGTTCCATTTCCATAAATTCTATCACGGAAAAGGAAGCATTGTGCTTGTCCAATTGAATGTGATCCTAGAATTAATCGGAAAATTTAAAAAGTTAGAACTTGTTATAAATATGTACAAATCTATATATAATCGATATCAATAATTAGATCGAGTTTTACCTGATAAAGCAACCATATCCCTTGTGCTAAGGCCTTTGTTGGCAAAGCCAGAAATAAGCCTACTAAGAGGATCGAAAGGACCAGGAAGATCAGTTTCTGCAAGAGTATGACTTGCAGTGGTTGAGTCTCTTCTTCCTAGTTTCACTGTCCATGATGGACCGCCAACCTGATTTTTATTAACGTAACATTAATTGGTTAGAATAAAAAAAGTTTCTTCTTTTCATAGTGTGAAAAAGTGAAATGTACTTACGAGACTTGATGCATCTCTAGCAGCAACTGCAAGTATGTCAGCACACGATACAACTCCAGGACATGTTTTCTCAACCTCTCTTTTTGCATCTTCTATAATACCAAAGCCTCTAACTGATCCAAGATTTGGCAGCGCAGTCTTCTCGCTGACAATCGTTGGAGTTTCATCAAGCAAGAGAGAAGCATCACAACCCTATAAAAGTTAAGCCGCAAATTATATATAATTAGTATTAGTATATATATTATGCATGTCATCAAAACAATAAATTAAAAGTAGTTCGATAAACATATAGATTAATGTATATATCCAACCTGAACAAAACAATCATGGAAATGAAGACGAATGAGCGATGCAGCCATACGACGCTCACTTGAAATTGCTTGTCTTATAGTTGTACGAATAGTGGTGAGTGCATTAGGGCAAGTTCGGTCGTAGAATGTGGAAGAAAGTTGTGCATGACATTGCATGGTAGAGAGTAGAAGAAGAGAAAATATAGCAATAAAAGAATTGTTTGAACTTGCCATTTTGAAATTAAAATGCAAAGTTTGTTGATAGATGATATGAAAGAATTATAGATGTTTATTATCTTTGTGATGTGTTGAGGGAATAATGTTTCACTCAAATATTTATAGGCAGAAAAACACGTTATTTTAAATCTCTTTGGTCACTATTGGCTGCCAATTGCATATCCGCGTTGTCGCGACCTTTTTTTTTTTTTTTTTTTTTTTTTTTGTCTTTGCTAATCTTTTGACTTGTTCTAATTGCTACTTATTCTTGTACTGGCCTAGGGCAAAAATTACGAATTCAAAAATTTTGACTTAAACTTTATATTATATATTAAAAATTTATTTTATATGTACGAATAATCTATATCGAAAACCTAGTGCATTAAAAAAGAATTATGTGACGTCTTACTTATTCCTAGCTAGGGTTGTGTACTGATCGATTCGGTTTGGTTTTGAAGTCTATTAGTTCGACTTATCGATTATCAAATTGTAGAAATGCTAAATTGTTATAGAACTATTAAGATATTGGCTTATCGATTATTGGTTTATCAGTTATTGATCATTATCGATTTAACCTTTAAGATTAAAAAAACTGAAAATCAAATCAAATGAACCATACACAAGAGTTGACCGATTGTATTTTCCTCAAAAGCAAACACTGTCACATTGTAGAATAATTGAGAATTCGAGACAACCTGAAAAAAACATATGAAACTAAACTCTAAGTCGAGAACTTTATATACCAGATATCTAATATAAATATAATTCTTTTATTTACTATCAGGTTGTCAGTTAACCTGTTAAGGAAAAACTTAAAACCGTTAGAATCGATAGCCTGACGAAAAAAAATAAAAACCGTTACCGAAATCGCTAAAACAATGACCCATTACCGATAAGTTAATAACTATTTTTTTTGTTCAAATTATCAGTTTCGGTTCGATTTTGAAACTATTCCTAAGTTTTGTCAAGCTAGAAAACTTCATGATTAAATATTTTGTATTTTATAGTATAATGGCATGAATGTCATTTTCCAATAATGTAACATAGATTTGGTCCTTACGTTGAACGTCAACTGGTGATATCATTTTATTTATTTAATCATTTTCAACATTGTCAGAGTAATTCAAATGAAGTTCAATACATTAAAATTTAAGATATATATATTTTTTATTGAACTTAATTATTAATATTAATTTATTTGATTTGATATAAAAATGAAGTTTAAAACAATTTTACTAGACACAACTCTACAATATGCACCGTAATTTACGAGTAAGTTTTTACCTCGTTACTTCATTCATTTTTGGCTGCTACATCATGTTACACCCAAAGTTAACGGGTAAGAACATGACTTATAGTAAATAGAGTATATATATTTTAATTTACTTTGTTCGAAGTACAATTATATTATTTGAAAAAGGGGAAAGGCTAAAATATACATGTCATCGAATTTTGAGAAAAAAATTATTTATGACATTCATTAAGTGTTTGACTTATTTATGTCATTTTAGTTAATAAATAATGAAATGAATGAGTTTTTTCTCAAACGAAAATGACATAGATGAGTCTTTTCTGAAAGTTCGACAGTATATATGAACATTTTCCGTTTGAAAAAACAACAAAATCACAAAATCACTCTTTATTCATTGACTAGTGTACTTATCCGCGCTTCGCGCGGAATTGAATATATTTTTTAAATAATTGATGTCGTTAATTGACTATTTTTCAATAAAAAGTGTATAAAAAAAATACAAATCAAGTCACGGTCGTGATGTTGTCTATTCAGAAAATTGCTAGAAAGATGTTTTCAAACTTTAATTTCCGCTTAACATTGCTGATAAAAAGAAGAAAAACATAAAAAGTATCTTAAGATAAAAAATTAAGTTGATTATATAACATTACATCGGAGATTATACTTTGCAATAGAAAATAAAAGAATTGAAACACATAGTATATAATAAAATGTGTATTTATAAGAAGTCATGATGTCGTTAATAATTTGATGTGTACTTATCTACTCGATTGTATAAAAATTAGGGATAAGGCTCTGAAAAATATCTCAACTTTGATCGAATTTGCTGTTGCGATACTAAACTTTCATGAGGACGTATTACCTCCCTAGACTATTTAATATCATATTTTTCAGTCCTCATGAGGTAATACATTCTATTAATATATGATAATAACTATTCAAAAAATAACTCCTTTTTCAATGTGAAAAATTAAGATAGATAATTTTTCTTTTAAATAATTACAAGTTAAATACATATTAATCACAAATGCACATTTATTATAGCATAACTATAAAATAACTTTTCATTATATATGTTCACATAAATGAGAATTCTTTCTTCATTCTTTTCATTAAATAATTTATTTATTAGTCAAAAGTTTCAAAAATACTAAAAAGATGGTTTATTTATTTATTTATTTTGTGATTAATTTCTAGTATGATAGACCACATCATATATTTTTAGGGGCAATAATATCTAATAGCCATGATAAATATAACATAGGTGATATCATACCTTTCAACAATGACAAAAATTTAGAATATTAATTAGAAATTGACAAACAGATACACATATGTAAAGGAGTGACATAGTTTTATAACATTAATCTAATTATCCTTGTAGTCATCACTAAAAAAAATTAATAGATGTTAATTATTCAAAAGACAACTCCTTCTTTGATGTGAAAAATAAGATAGATAATTTTAGCTTTAAACAATTATAAGTTAAATATATGTTAATCACAAATGCACATTTATTATAGCATAACTATAAAATAACTTTATATTATATATGTACAGATAAATGAGATTTTTTTTTCATTCCTTTCATTAAATAATTTATTTATTAATTAAAAGTTTTAAAAATACTAAAAAGATGGTTTACTTATTTATTTTGTGATTGATGTCTAATATGATAGACCATATAATATATTTTTAGGGGCAACAATATCTAATAGCTATGAGAAATGCACCATAGGTAATATTATATGCTTCAACAACGACAAAATAAATTAGAATATTAATTATAAATTGACAAACAGATACACACAAAAACACAAACAAAAACGTGATACTTTTCATTTTCATTCATTCGCATAATAACAATGTTAGTAGATATATCAATATAAAATAAAAAAGAATAGAATAATATTAATTGAAATCAAAACAATACATTAACGAATTTTCAAAATATTTGGAATCCATTCAAACTTTTATACTAATATGACCATCTCTTTTGATGAATCTTCCAATATAATTAAGTTTTTTTCTTCATTTTGATGAACTTGTACCAAACTTATGTGAACATCTCTATGATGAATCTTTGAAGAATATATCTATGATCTTTATCAAAGTGAAGGCCATATCATGACATTATTATGTACATGAAAGATGAAAGAGATAGAAAGAAAAAGAAAGAATGAAAAAGTGGAAATGAACATTAAACATCTCTAAAAATGAATCTTATTTATAGATAGGGTAAACCATAACAATAGTTAGAAAGAAGTTGAAGAGACATGTTATTTAAGTAGAGAAGATAAATAGATGGAGGTTTTTTTGTAACTTATTAGACATGATTAGAATAGTAAATATGATTGAATTTTAAAATTAATAAACAAAATATTTATTGAGAAAATGAAGAAAAAAAGTCAAAAGAAGGAGAAAAAAAATAAATAGGAATGGAGGCCATAGAAAGGTGCCACATCACCTCCTCTATGTTTCTCCTTTATATATATATATATATATATATATAGATTTGACATTTTAAGAAACATTCATCTATAACACTTAGGGTGTGTTTGGTATGAAGGAAAACATTTTCCGAATGTTTTGGAAAATGTTTTGAAAATCAACTCATCTTCCTCAAATTTAAGGAAAATGACTTCTCTTCAAAAATTAAGGAAAACATTTTCCAAAACTCTCTTCCTACTTCAAATTACAATTTTTGTTGTTGAAAAAATCAATTTATTTTGTCCCTACTCTCAAAACACCCCCCCTGCCCACCAACCACCCCAAAAAGTAAAAAAATTATTTAATGCTTATTTTTAAAAACTATTTTTAACTTCAATTTTTTTATTTTTTTACCGTACCCCTACCCCAGCCCCCTACCACCCCCAAAAAAAATAAATATTATTTTTAAAAGATATTTCCAATTTCATTTTTTTATTTTTTTATTCCATCCCCACCCCTAACCTCAACCCTCCCGCATCAGCCCCCTATCAGCCCCCTATCAACCCCCACCCCCTCCAAGAAAAAATTAAGTTTGTTTTTTTAAAAAATATTTTCAATTTCAAAAATTATTTTCTACTCTTAGTAAAATTAAAAGTTATTTTCTCAAAAATATTTTTCATTCATAAATCAAACACTAAAAAATCTTTTCCGAAAAATATTTTCTACTCACCAACCAAACACAAGAAAATAAGTCAAAAATCTACTTGTTTTCCAGAAAAACATTTTCCTTCCTACCAAACACACCCTTAATGAAGTAAGATCAGCTATGGCAGCTAAGAAGAGGGAGAATTTTATTCAATATGCATTACTAGATCAATCATATACAATGTCTACTCATCAACATATATAGTGTGACTTATCTACAAGATCTTTCAACTAACTAGTCTAGTTAATGTTGAAAAACACTCCATACATTAGATTCACTCACAAAATCAACATTGTAATGAGTTGAAAAACCTTTAGTCTGTAAAGTTTATCTCAAAGTTATGAGACCTGTGCTATGATTGTCTCCCTGCTGATAATATACCAAACAGAAATCACCACCTAGTTGCTGTTGCTGTTGCAGATTACCACGTAATCGTTGTTGCTGATTACCTCCTAGTTGCTGTTGCGGATTACCCCATAGTAGGTTACACAAGTGGAAAGTTTCTCTATCAATCGTTCGGTTCATCTCGGGATTATCTCCATCCATTTGAATAATATCCTTGAAATTAGACTCAAATTCCATGATCTTCATCTTTAAATACTCTTTGAGGAGTTTAAAATTGGGGATTGATAACAAGATGTACTTGAGTAGTTTATCTGAAGGAGGATGTGGGAAATCCCCATTGATGTTC